AGAGAGAGAGAGAGAGAGAGAGAGAGAGAGAGAGAGAACGAGAGAGCGGAAGACAGATAGACACAGACAGACAGACAGACAGACAGACAGACAGACAAAGACACGCAGCGATAGCGCGCGCGCGCGAGAGAGAGAGACAGAGAGAGACAGACAGACAGACAGACAGACAGACAGACAGACAGACAGACAGACAGAGAGACAGTGAGAGCTCACCTTGAGGATCCACTGGCGTCGTAGCAAAGCCCGTAGTTGCTGTCTCGAGCTCACGGCCGGCGGAAGGCTGAACACACCACCTGCATCCGCGTCCAATGGCATCCCACCAGTGACCCCTTCCTCGCCTCCCGCACTTCCCGCTCTCACAAACGCTGCATCCTTCCCATGCCAGGTTCCCGTGCTTTCCGGGCCCATTACTCCATCCGATGTTTCGATCTCCTCCTCGCCATCTCTGCCTGTCTTGCCCATCGAACCCGCACCCTCATCTGCCATCGCCAGCGTGCCCCCCTTGTCACGAAGCACCTGCAAACCGGGCAGTTCACCTTGCACTCTTTCCCGACCATTGTCTACTCTCCCCAATTCCAACCCCTGCGCGTTTCCACCCCCTGCCATCTCGCCGTAATTTCATCCACGAACTGCTCACAACTCCCTCAGCAGCCCGAACCGGGAACAGGAAGAGACCCGCTACACCAGTCTGATGCCCCCATCTACCCCTCAACTACCACTAGCTCGCACCATAGGCTCCCACCATAGGGAATGCTCCTTCCTACATTCCCACCACCACCATCGGGAAGTTGACGTGCCACGTTTCCTTCGTCCGGCCTCCGCGGAGGGCCCAGGTGGAAGTAAGGCCACCGCATTTTGATTTGACAGTCTGCGTGACAGTCAACGTACCGACCCCATTTGACCGTCTAAATACCGATCTACGTACCGAATCCGTTTCGAATACTCCAGCCGCAGGGTCCCGCAGAGATGGATTTTGTTTCGGACCGGTGATCCTTGGGTTCTAGTCCGGCCCAGAACGAAGAATCGACGCAACTGGGACATGGGMCCACCCTCCCGCCGGTCCCATGTCCGGCGACTCGACCGGCTCACTATCGATAGGGACACGACACGAGCTTTCCTCACGCTCTTCCCGCCCTCAGTTCGTGAACGACTCGTCTAGCGTGACACACGCTTGCACGCGGTGAAGCTTACACTGCATCGGCCTGTCACGGACCGTGATTCCGCCCGGCTTTTTCACCTGTCAGTCCCGGAAGCGCGGTAAAGACCTAAGCGGACCTCGGCCTCCCGACGAGGACCGAAAATCCGAATGGTCAGCGTCTTAGCTCAGTTGGTAATCCCACTACCCTGGATTATTCATTGTTCACCCTCGATTACGAAGATCAACGGTCAGAAATGAACAATAGGTGCTAGTGGGATCTGACCACTCCGAAAGTCATGGGTCCAATTCCGGCTACCTGGGCATTGGCTCGCCGATGGGCACTAAATAGATATTGCTGATGTTGGTAGGGGGAGGGGACCTGAGACAAGGCGCAGAGAGTCCTGGTCAAGTCAATGCATGTCCCTGGTGCTACTGCTGACCCATGCTTGGCATCACCAACCTGCAGGTCAGGTGCAGCCTCCACATGTTTGTCGTGACCATGGATGTGGCTGCTATCGGGTGTTTCGTTGCGTTCGTCTGGCAGTGAGAGTTTGTCTGCCATCCCGAAGAGGGCGGGCACGAACAAAATTTAACTTAGTCAAAGTTCAGTTTTTCGCCATTGAAACGGTAAGGGGGCAGCTCTGGTGTGACGAATAATGTGTGCGGTGGCTATGAGTGGCACCAGCCCCCTTCGTACGGTGTGTGTCGATGTTCGGCGGCCATGGGTTTAGTCGGTAGGCCAAGGTGTGGCCTTGGTGTGTGTCAGTAGGGCCACGCGCCACGCAGCACCCACTTATAGGGAGTTGCGCGGATAATAATATGAGCCTCGGGCTTAGCACTATTGGTTATGATGCTGGATTTTTGTTAAGCAGATTCAAGGATCGAGGCTGATAAGCAGCAACAAAGGCACGGTGAAGCAACTTAAAAAAATCAAGGGGGACCAAGGGGGTGTCAACAGTTCTTCCTCCTCCTAAATACCAATTTCCTTTTTCTTATAACTCTTTAATTTTAATTTTATTTTCATTTAGTTACTTTAGGTGGTAGTCCCATTTCCGAGACACTGCACTAGTATGGGTATTAGGAGTGGTGGGTCTGGCTGAGTTGATGCACCCCCGAACTGTTGGAATACGGACCCGAGTTTGAATTCCAATAGAATCTGATGATTGAAAATAACTCTGAATTTAGGTGGGGCCAGCCGGTTCCACAGCCGTACCGCGGGACTGTTGCCCCGTCACGAGTCCTCTGGGGCACCCGTTGGAATAGGAGCGATACCCTGCCTGTGGGGGCAGTCACGTGAGTTTGGGCCATGTGCATGTGACTGAAAATCCGAGGACTTTGTTGTTTCCTAAGTTAGTCTTGAGAGGCAACCTCTGCAGTGGCTCCGTCACCAATTCTGAGACTGGTGATGAAACCAACTGGCCTAGCCAGTTGGTACACCCCCGAATTATTGAAATACAGACCCAGGTTCGAGTCAGGATACAATCATATATTAGCTCACAATTATACCTCAAGGTCACTGCTCGCTGATTGGTTCTTTGGGGCATCTGTTAAAATTGGAACGATACAAAGAGGATAATCATAGTCTGTTGAATAATATTTTGCTTTGTCAGCCCCAACGAACCTCAACTATGTGCCTACCAGGTGCATTTGAACAGCTATCTATTTAAGGTAGGGAGTTTCAGTACATTCGACTTTTTCTCGTCTGCGACTTCGGAGAGATCGACGTATAGGTCGAGCAACGTCGTGAGGTAAAGTGACAAATAAAGGAAGATGAAGGTGGGAGGATGTGGGAGATGGTGAGTGCAGGGAGCTCGAATCGTTTATCCCACACGTTTCTTAACGAAATCGGACGAAGGAGGATGCTAATTGGGGATTCTCTGCTACGACGAGTATGCTAGTGGTGTTAGTTATAGGATTAGAGTTGTAGGGAAGGCGCTGAGAGAGAAAGAGGGTCACGGGAGAATAGAGACTATGAGGAAGAGGGAGTAGAAGTTAGGTGAGTATAACTGTACCTCGACCATTTTGGATAAAGCAAAGGTGTTGAACGAGGGTTTCCGAGTGTCACGAACCTTATGGTGTCGTCAAATTTGCGGAGAGTAGGTAGATTTGGCAGGCCAACTGATGGGAGTTGCGCCTGGGGGGATAAGTGTTGCGAAGAGATGTATCTCTCCGAGTTCTAGCAGAAGATTCATTATGATTTTGCTCATCCTATCAATAAAAGTAACCTCACTCTTTCTCTCTGCGCACCTGGCTGAGAAGCAATGTATATTTTCATGCTCTACCAACGATTCATTCCCATTTTCCTAATCTTATGGATTGGAAAACTTTTTTTTTTTTTTTTTTTTCTCTCTCTCTTTTTCACGCGAGCGCGGGGCGACATTGGCATTTGACAGCTCCTTAGTCCATACTTACACTAGGATTTATTTTCAATGTATATGTTCGTCGCGATATATTTTCCTGTTTTTTAGCGAAAGATTCATTCTTATATTGTACATTTGGTGATTAGTGAAGTGAAATTGAGTAAGAACGCACGTTCACCCGTCATCATGATTGTCGTTTTCTTCCCGTTCGTTGTCATTGTGGTGGTGCTTACGCTTTCAATGGTCGGGCGCATTTGATTGAAGTAGTTTGTGGTCGTGCATGTCATCTCCGGAGTTGTATCGTCGTTTAGCTTATAGCATTTAGCCTTGGTGTTCTCAATGATTATAATCTTCATGATCGCACGGATCATTTTCGTAACCCTCATAACAGAGAGGGGTTTATTGGGAAGCCTACAACTCAGAGAGAGAGAGTCGCCTGTTTTGCTTGGTGGTCGTGTCCTTCCTTCTCGAGATCGCTATCTACATGAGGTCGTAGTTATCCCGATCGTAATTGTGGTCATGTTTGTGATCGTCCATGTAACGACGTATTTTCCCATGTGCTAGCGGAAAACCTACATTCATTTTGTAAAAATGTCGAAAAAGTCGGGGTTTACGATCGTGCTCCTTATCCATGTGATCGTAGTGTTATTTTTTGTTATCGTGATTGAGGTATTGTCCTCCATCGTCGTGATCGCGGGGCCGTCCTACTTCTTGTTTGAGCTCGCAATCCCGATTTGGGGGGGGGGGGGGGGGGGGGCAAGAGGAGAGGGCTCTAAACTACTCATATTCGTGCTCACGCTTTAGTTTAGTTGCGTCGTTTCGCCTGTCCAGGGTCACTTGAACCTGGGCAAAAGGTTGGTCGGGTACAGTCGAAAAAGGGAGAGGAATGCACAGGCAGCAAGTTGGTAGAAGTTGTTGTTGTCGCAGTAGGCTTCCATCTAGTGAAACCAAGGACTGGTTCTGAAAAGGTATTATTGTTTTCTCTCCGCATACGGTTGCTGCAACCAGCACTGACAATATTGTTGAGTTTCTTGGGTTGATGTTGTTGCTGGCGTCTATGGGTTGATTTAGGTTATTATGTGATCGTAAGCTCAACGATAGACGTTGTTGAAGGAAAAATTATGTTTGCATTAGGGATGACAAACATATGCTTACATTGACGTATGAGTTCGTTATTTTGGACCTCCATCGATGTGCTATTTTAAGGGAAGCTTCGACTATCTGGTTTCTGTTGTGGATTGTAGTCTGAGACTGCCAGCTGCTAAGCATTGCGGTGCGCATAGCCCTTCACCGTGTTTAGGGAGTGCGGTTGTTGTGCAATTGTTGAGCTTGTTGCAATGTATTGTCGTACACTCATGTTGTGTTTTATCGTGTATTACGCTACACATCGACATTGTATTATTTTCAAGCATGCAATGCCTTGCTATGCTTCGACTATGCACTTGCAAAGCATTTACTGAGTTTTTATCGTACCACCACCGAGTTGTTGTGCGACACTATTATGGTTCGCTCAATTTGACCTTGTGCATTGCTACAGTGCCATATTGTTGCACATGATTGTAGTACCACAATATTTTGTTAGGTTTTATTGCGCTTCGCCTGCAAGTCGAATAGAGCACAAGCGGGGTGTGCTCTATTCAAGCGCAGGTTGTCTAGGTTGCATAGCGGAAGTTTGGTCAAAGGTTGAAGGGGTGTGACTAGGGGAAGAAATCAGGCTCTTCAAGAGGGTTATTGCTGCAACTTGGAAGCTCTCAGAGATCCATTTTACTCTACATTTTGACCAAAGTTCGGTCATTCTACTTCAATTTTGGCCACCATTGCGTGACCCTTAGGCGCATCAAGGCAACAAGGTCCTCTCACGCGAGTTTGAGTTGATTTTTTCTAGTGTCTCGAGAGTCTGACTTTCCTCTTTTTATTCTTCTCACTCTCATACTAGTTTGTTGGCTCAGAGAGGAAGGCGGCAGCGGGGTTGGAAACTCATAGGACCGCATTAGGACCTTGTGTGAGGTTCACTCACCGATTGCAAGAGCTATGTCGGAACCTAGACGAGGTTCTGTAGGCAGGGAATCTTCAAGTATAACTTATTTCCCCTTTGTGAGTCCACCATACTCCTACTGCCGCATCTCTCTAGTTTGTCGGAGAGGTATGCACGCGTTCCCCTATGATTCTTGTTTCTTTTAATTCA